ATGAATTCAAAAAAAATCTAAGTTTATTAAAATCACGTATCTCAAAGAGTTTCATTAATTAGAATGATTACACAAACTTCAGAAATGGAAAAACAAAAAACAAAAAACTGACATATAAAAACACACCCATCAAAATAACAAAAACAAAATATCAAAAAAAGAAAGAACTGATCCAAAACTGATAGAACCCAAAACACAGTAAAGTGTCGCAAATGGGTTGGCCTATATAGGCACCTGCGCAACAAGGATGAGGGTGGACGATGGTGTGGGGAGGAGAGGCGGGCGGAAAGTACCTTGACCTATCAAAAAAATAGAGGACGAAGATCAGCCGTGAGTTCATGAAAATACAATGGTGATTTTTTAAACTCAAATTAGATTTTTTTTGTGATTAAAAAATCATACAATTTGTCTTTTGACACACCACAAAATCCAGCTCGATTGTTAGTAAAAAAAAAAGACCCGGCTCGACTTATACAGATTTTTGATTTTGAGACAAACTTATACCGAATAAAGTATGCCTTGAGTGATGGGCTTTGCAGCTGGTGGACTCAAGCCCAATAACGAACCCTAGGAGAGCGCTAGCTCTAGGCTGGCCCAGGTCGCACACACGGGACCAGCCGGCGGCGCACCCAGTCAGTGGAGCGGCGGCGGCGCACCCAGTCAGTGGAGCGGCGGCGGCGCGAGCTCTGACTCCGGGGAGAAGCCGAGGGGCGACGTCAGCGAGTGAGCAGCGCCCACTCCGCGGGGTGAGGAGGCAACTCCGTGAGCTCGTCTTCGTGCGGCCGCCGGTGGTGACCAGGCCAGGTTTGCCCCTCAGCTCGCCGCAAACTCTATTTCCTGGGAGAAGCGACGCCGGCGACACCGTGAGGGCGGCCGCCGCTGCAAGCCCAGGTTCGCCCCTCACCCCATCCATCCCAGCTCCAAACTCTGAAACTTCGTTTTTTTTCTGAAACGAGCTCTCAAACTTAGCAATGGTTAATGGTGACTGAGTAGGTCGATTTTCGACAGGCCAGGTCCGCCATGTCGGTCTTCACCGGCGTGTCCATCGCCGACGGCTACAAGCGGTGCAGCTGCGAGACGCTGGCCGTGGACGCCCGCGGGGACAGCGGCTACCACCTGCTCATGGTCAACGGCTACTCGCGCACCAAGGAGCTGATTCCCACCGGTCAGAGCATCACCGCCAACTCTTTCAATGTGGGAGGCCATGACTGGTTGATCGAGTACTACCCCAACGGCGAGAACCCGGGCTGCGCCGACTTCATTTCGCTATTTCTGAACCTTCTCTACGACGCCGATGACGACGACGAAGAGCCCGTGGAGGTCAGGTTCAGTTTCAGTCTCGTCGACCAGGTGGAGAAGCAGATGCCAACGTACATTCGTGCGACCGGTGAGACCCGCAGCTTCTCCAGCACCACTTCAATCTGGGGCAACGACAGGTTTATGAGAAGAGACGCCCTTGAACACTCAGCGGATCTCAAGTGCGATTGTCTCACCATCCGCTGCGACGTCGTGGTCGTCAGCAACAGCAGGGTTGATGATGATGATGCCGGTGGCCATGGCCATGGCGGCACCAAGGCGCTCCTGCCGGACATACACCAGCATTTCAACAGCCTCCTTCGAAACAAGGTGGGTGCCGATGTGGCATTCCAGGTCGGCGGCGAGACCTTCCCCGCACACCGGTGTGTGCTCGCTGCCCGGTCCACTCATGGCACAACTCTTTGGCCCCATGAAGGAGGCGTCCAACAGTGTCATACAGATCAAAGACATGGAACCAAAGGTGTTCACCGCTCTGCTTAGCTTCGTCTACACAGACTCGTTTCCTGACATGTATGAGGACAACATTAAGCTGAGTGAACTATGCAAAGATACGAGACAAGGACAAGAAAATGAGATGTCGGAAGCTGTGAGCCAAGGAAAAGACGGGGAAGCGGCAGAGGATGAAATGGGGCTGCTGCAGTGGTTGCAAGGCTTGTTTGCGGCAGCAGACCGGTACGATCTCCAGCGGCTCAAGTTCATCTGTGTAAAGCAGTTGTCTCAGCGCATGTGTGTCGGCTCTGTGGCGTCCACTCTTGCTCTAGCCGAGCAGCACCACTGCCACGGATTGAAGGTGGCGTGCTTGAAGTTTATCCAAGTCCAATCTCCCTCGTGTCTGCAGACACTCATGACGAGTAATGGCTGGGGGCATATTCTCACGACATATCCCTCTGTTTTGAACGAGCTCATTGCCATGCTTGCTTCGAACCAGAGGAAGTAACACTCTGGATATGGTACGCATCTTCCTTAATTAGACCTCAAGTGACATTATTTTGCATATATAAGAATCTCCGCAGAGATTGTAGTATATGTGTCTTGTTTTTAATTGTCTCGTCATGTAGTTTTCATGTATGATGAATCAGAAAAATCCATGTTCATGTTTAGTTTTGAACTGACATTTGCTGCCCATGTTCATGTTTGTTCTGCGTCTACCATCTGAAGTAATAATCAAACAATAGTCAAGCAAATCTGCAACTTAAGAGTTTCTCTGTAGGAAGGCAGGCAAGCAATAGTCGACATAGAAATGCCAAAATTATTGCTTCGAACCAGCAGAAGTAACACTCACTCCGTATATATATGGTACGCATGTTCCTTAGGCCTCAAGTGGCACTCTTTTGCATATATGTGATCCTCTAGTTTAGAGAGATTGTAGTATGTGTGTCTCACCTTTTCCTCGGCATGTATATATAACTTGCCTATATTCTGAGTCAACATACTTGCAAATTGTGCCTTCATGGATTGGGCTGTCTGAAAATTCAGGCGCAAGTGTCAAACTGAACTGCAGTTGCAGTGGTTGTCAAGAAAGAAAAAAGAAGAACAGATGTAGATGTTTTTCTCTACTTTCCCCAATAAACATCTCTTGGTCAAGTGTCAGTGGGAACTTTGGGAGATGGCCATTTAATATTCATATCTTCCTCTTGATGTTGTATCATAGTAATAACTTCTACTAGATGACTTGTTCTTTGAATGTGTGATTCTTGAAATATGCACTATGCTGATGCTTGTTCTATTAGTGATTCATTGATTGCTTAATCCTGACACTAACATGCACTGGTGTATTGCCTCGGCCTCTATTTTCCAGGGAAGAAGAGCACTGTTGCATTCACTATGTTTCTTTCAACGGAAGCACTATGTTTACGTCACAGAACGCTAACTAAGGTATGTATGCTCCGGCTCCTGGAGAAGATAAGATAAGAGAAGAGAAGAAAAGAAAAGAGAAGAATACTTGGGATTGCTTGGCCGGAATGTTATACCACGGACGATCTTTATGTAGTTACGGTGCTGTGATGTATAGTAATAACTGACTCCCTATGCTGCTTCGATGTTGTGATGTAGTAAAGTGCTTCCTCTTATGGTGTGCAATTAAAAGGCTAGCTAGCGGTTTCCGTCAGAAATTCCAGGGCAATGCATATGTATTTTCCTTCCTTGCTGGGTATCAGAATGTACTTTGCAGAGGATCATCACTCTAAAATGTTTGGGAGACTCGGAATGTCAGTTTGCATCTTACTTAATTTTATCTTTCAACTGACAATTGTTACCAATGTTGACACCCTGCTGCTGCAGATTGCACTTGGCCATCACATCCAAACTGATGATGGCCAAAAGATTCATTCCTGGAGCTGCCAGTTTCTATGCTACTTACAATCATGTAAATTCTATCGTTTCAGGAATGATAAATTCAATTATTTTTATTGACCTTTTTTTTTGTGAATACCTATATTTTTATTGGATACCTGGAAACCATTATTTTCTTTGAATTCGATAAATATACATACTGTAATGTTTCTTTTCGATGGAGCATTGTTTACTGGACCTAGAGTAAGCATGGGTCATCACGAGTAGATACTTCTGAACCATCTGTAACATCCAAACTTTTGGGGGTTTCCATAATATAGTGGAAAATGTTTTGATTTTAAAAATATTCATGAATTAAAAAATTATATGATTTAAAAAATCCTGGATTGCAAAAAGTAATCACGAATTAGAAAAAATATAGAAACTTTAAAATGGAAAAAAATGAAAGAAGTATAAAAACCCCATAAAAACAACAAAAAGGAAACAGCGGAAAAAATAAAATTGATCCAAAACTAATGGGAACGAAAACACGGTAAAGAGTCGCAAATGAGTTGGCCCATATAGTTTGTGTGAGCTAGGGGTTTGCGATTGGCCGCCCCTGAATGCGTTACCTCTTGAATAGGAGTGGCCAGAGGCTCCTGTGCGGTATGGTAGGAGGATGAAGACGGACTATGGTGTGGGGATTGGGGAGGATAGGCATGAAGTGTCTTCACCTCTTGAAAAAATAGAGGGCAAATATCATCTGTGAGTTTATGTAAATATAACGGTGATTTTAAAAAAATAATCAAATTATAACTTTTTTTGTGATTAAAAAATCAGTCAAGTGGTGTTTGGCACCCTAGAAAATTCAGCTCGGTTGTCAGTCAAAATAAGTTCAGCTCGCTTTTTACCGAATAAATATGGCTTGACTGATGGGCTTTGCAGGTGATGGGCTCAAGCCCAATAAAGAACGTGCTGAGTTGTTTGCTAACCCTAACTAACTAAGCTCCAGGCACCGCTCAAAAAAAAAAAAAAAACTAAGCTCCAGGCAGGCCCAGGTCGCACACACGAACACTGGACCAGCCGCCGGCGGCGGCGGCGGCGCGAGCTCTGTCTCCGGGGAGAAGCTGCATCAGTGCCGCAGCCAGTGGGCCAGCGGCTACTCCGTGCGTTGAAAGCGGGGTGTGCCCAACTCTGCTTTCGGGGAGTGGAGCTCGTCTTGGTGCGGCCGCCGGCGACGGGGGTGACCAGTCCAGGTTTGCTCCGGCGACCTCCGTTGCAAGCCCAGGTTCGCCATCCATCCCAACCCCAAACTCTCAAGCTTAGTTTTGTCCAAAGATTTCCAGAGTGGAATGTGAATGGTGACTGAATATATATATCGACTTTCTACAGGCAGGTACACCAGGTCCACCATGTCGGCCTTCACCGGCGTCTCCATCGCCGGCAGCAACAGGCAGTGCTTCTGCGAGACGTCGGCCGTGGACGCCCGCGGGGACAGCGGCTACCACCTGCTCATGGTCACCGGCTACTCGCGCACCAAACAGCTGATTCCCACCGGCGAGGGCATCACTGCCGGTCCTTTCAGTGTAGGAGGCCACGATTGGATGATTGAGTACTACCCCAACGGCGAGAACCCGAGCTGCGCCGACGAGGGAGAGCCCGTGGAGGTCAGGTTCAGTTTCAGCCTCGTCGACCAGGTTGAGAAGCAGATGGCGACGCACATCCGTGGAACCGGTGAGACTCGCGACTTCTCCACCGCTACTTCAATCTGGGGCAACGACAGGTTTATGAGAAGAGACGCCGTTGAACATTCAGCGGGTCTCAAGTGTGATTGTCTCACCATCCGGTGCGACGTCGTGGTCCTCCGCAACAGCAAGGTTGATGATGATGATGATGCCGGTGGCCATGGCGGCACCAAGGAGCTCCTGCTGCCGGACATACACCAGCATTTCAACAGTCTCCTTCAAAATAAGGTGGGCGCCGATGTGGCATTCCAGGTCGGCGACAAGACCTTCGCCGCACATCGGTGTGTGCTTGCTGCCCGATCCACAGTGTTCATGGCACAACTCTTTGGCCCCATGAAGGAGGCATCCAACACTGTCATACAGATCAAAGACATGGATTCAAAGGTGTTCACGGCTTTGCTTAGCTTTGTGTACACAGACTCGTTCCCTGACATGTACGAGGACAACATTAAGTTGAGTGAAATATGCAAAGATACGGGACAAGGACAAGAAGATGAAATGCCGGAAGCTGTGGACCAAGGACAAGATGCGGAAGCGGCAGAGGATGAAATGGGGCTGGTGCAATGGCTGCAGGGCTTGTTTGTAGCGGCAGACCGGTACGATCTCCAGCGGCTCAAGTTCATCTGTGTAAAGCAGTTGTCTCAGCGCATGGGTGTGAGCTCTGTGGCGTCCACCCTTGCTCTAGCCGAGCAGCACCACTGTCGTGGATTGAAGGAGGTGTGCTTGAAGTTTATCCAAGTCCAATCACCTCCGTGTTTGCAGACACTAATGGCGAGTAATGGCTGGGGGCATATTGTCACGACATATCCCTCTGTTTTGAATGAGCTCATTGCCATGCTTGCTTCGAACCAGAGGAAGTAACACTCTGGATACGGTACGCATCTTCCTTAATTAGACCTCAAGTGACATTCTTTTGCATATACAAGTACGTCTACAGAGATTGTAGTATGTGTGTCTTGTTTTTAATTGTCTTGTCATGTAGTTTTCATGTATGATGAATCAGAAAAATCCAACTTATGGGTAAATTGTCTCTTCATGCAATGGATGGTCTGTAAATTCAGGTCCGAGAGTCAACATTGATATGCATTGCAGCATTGACCAATTTTCTCAACTGCTCGTTTTATCATCATATATATTTATCTGTGAATTGTTTCGTATATTGTAGTTTGATTATCTGGAAGATCAAATGTAGAAATTTTTGGGAAGGCATTTTGTAAACCAGGATTTAATGGAAAGAAATGGGATGACAGAACAGAGGTCACCAAGATTTCTGGTTACAGCGGTAGTGATCCATTACCCAGGAATTAGTCTTCTTCTGGGTGCTTGCTGTTCTCCTCGGCTGGCGCCCCACACCCCCTAGGGAGACGAAGGTCGGAGCTCGGAGATCCTGCAAGTACAATGTTGTAGCTTTCCTCTGTACTTAAAAAAAATGACTTCCATTCTGGTGTGTTCTGAAGCACATATGATGAATGATGTCAATTGTTGCGGTGATGATAAGCTGGGGTGAGCTTTGAGTGCATGGACAGTGGCTATACTTTTTCTTCAGATAATGAATATCTTTTGGTCAAGCATGTCCAAAGCTTTGGGAGGTAAAATCCGTAAGTTCCTTCCCGGCTGTTGTTTCATGAGATAAGTTAATTATTAGACAACAAGTTGATGGCAAAACATGCTTGGTTTTCAATGTTTTATCTGATGTTTTATTTGAATGTGTGGTTTGTAGACACCCCTGATCCGAGTTAGCCATGACTCGGAATTATTTATGTTTTACACGATGCTGATGCGTGTTTTCTGTCAGTCATTCATATGGTCCTGGCATGCGCTGCCGCATTAACATCGTTACTCGAGCATCATATTAGTGGGCGATTTGGAATATTTGTCTGTTTTCAGGGGAGGCGAAGCAATGCAACGGAGAGACTTGCACTATGTGAGATGAGGTATATTAGGTATGCTCACTCCTGGACGAAAAAAAAGCTGTGCAAGTGCAAGCACACATCACTTACTGCTGGACCGAGGATTTTGGACCTTGTATGGAGAAGAAAAGAGAAGAGGAGACTTGCTCTGACGGATTGCTTGGCCGGAATGTTATGCGGCGGATGCCGAGCACTCCCTGTATGCACCTACCTCAAGGCCAACACGTTCCCTGCCCTGCCTGATTCACTAGTGGAGTAATGGTCACTTTTGCTTTGATGCTCTAGGCCTCTGATGGTGATGTAAAAACTTGGCCTTGCCACTAGAGACGACATTAGCTATTACTCCCTCCATTCCAAAATAGATCACTCAACTTTGTACAAAGTTAGTACAAAGTTGGGTCATCTATTTTGGAACAGAGGGAGTAGATGACTTGTTCTTTTTCTTGAGAGAAGGTGTGATTCTTGAAATATGATGATTCACGCAATGATGATGATGCTTGTTCTATCAGTGATTCATTGGTTGACCACTTTTGCATCCTGAACATCTAACTACATTCTGAACAACCCAGCCTAATTAGGAGGAGGTGAACCTAAATTTATGTCTGAAGAAATCGACATTCTCGTCACACGCCGTCTCACTTCCGCCTCAAGCCCCACCCGCCGCACCGTCGCCCAAACGGCCACTAGCCTCATCAACCCATAGTTGAAAAGTGAAATTCAGAAATGAAACAAAGAATCATCTGCACAAGTTCAGAGCCGTTGCCTGAAGAGATTTACAGTTACTATTTCTCCAGATCATGATTCAGTTTGTGTAGAACACACAACCAGCACATAAGTTACAAGATGATAGAGTACGAACAGCTAACTAACTACAGAGCAGCATGGATCAGCCACCATGACAGGGATCATCCAAACGCTGCCTCAAGCCCCCGGGCCCGGCGCCATCATCACCATGTACATGTACTCGACCACCACAGCCTCCCCTCACGCCGAAGGCCGCACGCACCCTCCCCTTGGCCACGAGCCTCATAAACCGATAGCTGAAAACTGAAATTAAGAAATGGAACAGAGAAACATCTTTGCAAGTTCAAAGTCATTGTCTGCAGAGTTTTACAGAAGGCCATACTCACAAATCAGAACAAAAGTTCCATAACATAGCAGACCAAACCAAGATGAAATCACACAAACAGGATCATAGCAAGAACTCTGTCAAGTGAAGCAGCAGGGATTAGAACTGAACATGGTACAGAGCCACGAGACAGATCAAAGAAGCGCCAATACTAATTCACAAGATAATGAAACAGTTACAAGACGACATAGTCCAAACACCTGACTATTACAGAGTACCATCGATCGACCAAGAAACAGGAACAGACTATCTAAGCGGAGGTGAACTTGGTGACGGCCTTGGTGCCCTCGGAGACGGCGTGCTTGGCGAGCTCGCCGGGGAGGACGAGGCGGACGGAGGTCTGGATCTCCCTGGACGTGATGGTGGGCTTCTTGTTGTAGCGCGCCAGCTTGGCCGACTCGCCGGCGAGCTTCTCGAAGATGTCGTTGATGAAGGAGTTCATGATGGACATGGCCTTGGAGGAGATGCCGATGTCCGGGTGAACCTGCTTCAGCACCTTGAAGATGTAGATCTTGTACGTCTCCACGCTCTTCTTGGACTTCTTCTTCCCCTTCTTCTCGCCGCCCTCCTTGGACGCCGGCGGCCGCTTCTCGGCCTTGGTCTTCTTCGCTGTCGTCGTCTTCTCGGCCTTCTCCGCCACCGGCTTCTTCTCCGCCTTGGGGGCCATGGATGCCGCTGCTGCTGCTGCTTCGACGAGGAGAGGTGTGGTGTTTCGCTGGGAGGCAGAGGAGGATTGGTGGAGGAGAGAGCGCGGGTCTGATTGGTGGAGGGATGAGTGCCACGGATCGGTGGCCTCCAGTGATTTGATATGATCTCGGCCGTTCACGCTGTGCGGTATGGACGGCCCGGATGCGCCTCGGCGCGGATCGCTGACGTGGTGGACGTGGAGAAGACAGATGAGTTTCAGCCCAGGCGCGCCTACTCGAAGTGTGAATTGGGCTTTCTCCGTGGCCGGAATTTGAGTAAAAACTGTTCTTCCATCCGTTCCTAAAAATTTAGAAACATTAAAACTTGGCATTTCCTATACGGCGCCCGTTGCGGCCGTTACAGGCGTCGGCGCAAACGGGCGCACACCCCGCCTCCTTCCATCGATGCTACATGGGCCAGCCCATTTAACTTTATTTTCTTCTTCTGTTAAATTCCAAAAAATGGTGCGGGCAACAAGATTCGAACACATGACCACCCATTTCGTCAACGAAGGCACTAACCACCAGGGCTTCTTCACGCTTATGATTAATCTCTTCATTTTTCTTCTTATGTTGTCCTCAGTTCGTGGAAGCTCGGTCATTGGAAGCTACCAGCTCGGTTTTTTCGTTTTTGTTTTTTTCTGGATAGTTTTTGTGATGGTTTTTTATTTTATTGTTCGTTCTCTTTTAATTTCTTTACATTTTTTTTCGAATGCATGAGCATTTTTTCAAAAAGCGATGATCTTTTCAAAGTTTTGTGAGGTTTTTTTGTCAAATTTGAAGAATTTTCTGATTTTATGTGAATTTTACAAAAATGAATGAACTTTTTTCCAAAATCGATGAACCTTTTTCCATTTTTTATGAACTTTTTTCATGATTGGTGAACTTTTTTCGAATTCGTGAACCCTTTTTGAATATCCGTGAAATCTTTTTCAAATCAATGAACCTTTTGTAACTTTATGAACTTTTAAAAAAAAATTGAACTTCTTTCGAATTCGTGAACCCTTTTTTGAAAACCCGTGAACTCTTTTTCAAATCGATGACTTTTTTTGAAAATCGATGAACTGTTTTTTTATCTTGATGAACTTTTTTCATGATTGGTGAAATTTTTAAAATTTTCAAATTACGTAATTTTCTAAAACATGAACAATTATTGAGAACATGAACAAAAATTTATATACGACGAGCGATTTTCAGATATACACTGAACATTTTTTCGGTGTACGATGAACAATTTTTAACTACACAGCGAACATTTTTGTGGTATACATTGAGATAATTTAAAACATATTTATACATTTTTTTTGATATAAGATGAACAAATTTTATACATTGAACATTTTTGTAATATAATCTGAACAACTTTTAACCACACATTGAACAATTTTGTGATATGCGCTGAAAAACCATTTAAATACCCATTGAACATTTTTTGATGTACACTGAACAATTTAAAATTGTGAACAAAATTTGAAAAAAGTGAATAAATATAAAACTATGAACACATTTCGAAATCACAAACAAAACACAAAAATACATATTTTTTAAAATTCCATGAACTTTTTTCAAATTTGATGAACTTTTTTTCAAAATCGACAAACTCTTTTTCAAAATCGATGAACTATTAATCATTTTTGACGAACTTTTTTCCAAAATCAATGAATTCTTTTTCATATTTGATGATTCTTTTTCAAAATCAATGTTTTTTTCGAATTCATGAACTTTTCACGTTTCTAGACTTTCTTTCAAAAAAAAAAATTTTGAATTCAAGATTTTCTTTTATTTTTTTGGTCAAAAGTCAACAGTTGACCGGTCAACTGGCCAACAGTGGACCGGTGAACTGTGATCGAAGGGAGCGAAGACGGAGGCGATCAAGGGAGCGAAGCAGGCGATCCTGGGCCGGCCCAGTTCACAGCCGCGTGGGCGCCCGAATTGCCAACGGGCGCTAAAGGCCCCCGTTAGGAGCTCCCTTAAAACTTAGCACTTTTTCTACCATCTCAGGTCATTAGAGTAACTCCAACTACCCGCTGCCCACGCGGTTAGCTTAATTTATGACCGGGCCCACGCATCAGTGATGGCAGTCGCGCTTTTTTAAGCCAACCGTGCGGCGGGACTGTCTTCATCCAAACTTGTTGT